GATGAGGCAATACATATACCTGAGATTCGGGTGGATTGTGGTCCCCCGAGGAGGTGGTACGGACTTACTCTGCCAGGTTCGGGCCCGAACCTGACAGGTATTTCCGCGGCGGATGGTCGGCAAGGGAGAGTTGCAGCGATTGGCTCTCTCGTTATAGTCGACGGTGTCGGTTGTAGCCGACGTCAGGTGAACTCCGGTATTGAGAGGTGACATCAATGCCGGAGTGGGGACACGCCTAGCATCGAGAGGTGCCATCGATGCTAGGGTGGGGTGATGTGTTCGGGCGGAGAAAATAAAAAGATACTTATGCCGGATTCCGAGTGTGTGCGGAGTAGATGGAATCCGAGGAGAGAGGTGGTTGTGCTACGCACATGGGGAGTACCTACCTACGCATGGTGCGCGTAGAGACGATTTGACGGACTCTGTCCTGCGACTTGTCGTATGGCCGACTTGTCGTACGGACTTGATTGTGATTGCTGCGTGCTTACAGTGATTTATGTGTTCAATTCCTGTTTATTAGAATATTAGTACATACACACATATATCTATATGTTTGTGCTTTCCCTGGCACCATGAGAATGGAACTCCGGGTTACGCCCGAGTTCACTCTCTAAGCAATTAGCTTAGGACGTTGTTACGCAACGTTTCAGGTCGTGAGCAGCAGTAGCCGAGGAGCGGACATCGAGGACTGGTGTGACCTGTCGTGTGATTATGTATAATTATTCTCTACGGTACATTTACGTTTTCGGGGAACGGTTTGTGTTATATCGGTGGTAGACTTTTATGGTTTGTAATAATGTGATACTACCACTGTGTATGTATAATTATAACTGGAATAATGTACCGTATATGTATGTAAGAAAGTTTCTTCCGCTGAACTCTAAAAATAAAAGTTTTAAATTCCCGCGGATTTTTGGAAATGCGATTTTTATTTTACTTGTCCATGTGGCGCAACTCGTATTGCGGGATACGGGTTTCGGGTGTCACAGTTTGTACCTTTTCTTAGAGCGAAGAGTCAATCTATGTTGACTTAAATCGAATATAAATGAAAAATCATCGTCATTTCCAAAAGAAGGTCTCATCTACCAGACTTACTTAGCAATAGGACACTCAAATAAAACATGATTAATGATTTCCTCAACACAATTACATATCACACAATGTGATTCTTTATAATCAATCCCATCATCAAACATGATTGTACTGATAGACATTCATGAATAGTCTTTCACAGGAAGACCTTAATTTTGTTCGGTATGGGTAACTTCCATATTTTTGACAAAAGATCGTTGAAACTAGGCTCTTTCACCGCATTTTCTTTGTTCTCCTTTTTTAATATTTTCTCCATTACCCAATATCCTAATCGAACCGAATATAATCCATGCCTTGTAAAGATTCAACTATAAACATTCTGACAAACACGGTTTGGCGGACATATCTTCAAAATTATTTTTACATATCTTTGATTAAACAAAGAGACTAGAATATCTTTTTTCCGATTCCCATTTTCATCAACTAGCTCGGACACCTTCAGATTCGGACGCAATAATCTTCCCGGTCCTTGACCCGCACGTGGTTTATAATCCATAATCCAAGGGTCCATCCATGCATTTGTTTGTGACCCCGAACCAATATCTCGTTTTAACCTTACATTAACAAGAATCTTGCAGGCTAAATACTTAATTAGCCATCTGAAGGTCGCTTAATGCATTAAGAACATTCCCATTCGCTAAAAGTTACTAGTAAGGTTTATTATATATATATACATACTGTGTTTTTATGTTTTCTATTGGGTTGGCTACTTCACGAAAGCTTACTAGAATGGGTTATGCAAATTTTAAATGCACTCATCTTTATACATTCTTTATACTTTATACTAAGTGCATTGTCTTCCAATAAATAAATGATTTTAAAATAAAATTATAGTTTTATAAACCCAATCAATTATAGTTTTTGGGTTAATTGGGTAACCCGTTTAATTTAACCAACCCGACACCATTTTTTTAATTTTTTAAATTTCATTTCTTTGCACACCTATTTCTCTATTAATCTTCTATTTATATTCAGTTGCCAATCACATACTAAATCAAATTAATTAATTTTTTTAATCTTATTATATTATTAAAAACTTAACCAATTGCCAATAATATCTTCACCAATCATAGTTTTTGTTACCTAAACTCGTTAGAAAAGAAAAATTTATTTAAGAACGTATGTTTTATTTATGTTCAATCTCTTACAATTATTTTAAAATGATACATAAACACAGGTATACGTTGATACCTATGTGTATATATAAGATATGATGACATGATATATAAAATATGTGGATAATTTTGGTACTCTTTTAAACCTTGAACTGGAAAACTATACAATTTCAATAGCCCATCGTCTTTCCGGTGCGCCCATCTTTAAACCGGACCGGCATATACGTGTGTGTACGTGTACACGGATGATTTATTCAGGTCGGATTCGATTTGGTTATATTTAGATTCGGTTATTTCGATTTCAGAAAAAGTATATCCATTCAATTCAATTTTCACATTGAATCAGTTCAGTTTTGTTTACGATTAAAATGATTTTTAAAAAAAAAAATTATGATTTTTTAGTTATTTTTTTTATTTGGTTTGATTTAATTTGATTCGATTATATTAATATGTTATTCGGTTCGTATCGGTTTGGATATCCGGTTATTAACTAAACAAGTAACTCCTAGTATGCATGTATAAACTCAACCCGGTTTTGAGGGAGCTTCTCGCTTACGTTACAGACACCGGCGGTGAGGAAAAGATGAACCACGGCCAACAATCCGGCGAGGCGAAGCACGAACACGATGCTGCTCTCACGGATTTTCTCGCTTCCCTCATGGACTATACTCCCACTGTATGATTATTTCGAAGCTGTTCTTATATTCTCCAGCGATGAAACGAAACCCTAGGGGAACTTCTGATTGAGCTCTGATTTCGTTTTTTTCCCTTCAGATTCCCGATGAACTAGTGGAACACTATTTGGCTAAGAGTGGGTTTCAGTGCCCAGACGTGCGATTGTAGGTATTTTCGTCTTTTTTTTGCTTGCTGTTAAATTTATACTGGAAAAATGGGCAGATTAGAATCGGTTGTCGGAATCACGGTCGAGTTCTAGGATGATTTTTGTCTGTGGTTGATGACTGATGAAGTTAGGGTTTTAATTTTTATATCGAGTACTCTCCATTTCCCATTTCTCGTTTTCGGATTTGCCGAGTTAAATTTGACCCAAATGATCATTAGGAATTTATGCTTTAAACATGTATTTTGCAAAAGCTGTGTGTATTGTACTGGGAAAGCTTTATGTGTTTGCATTGTTTGGTGACGGGATGATGGAAGGCTCTTATAATATCTTGATTATTGATTGAAACATTGACACTTTGATACCCAAAGACTAGACTGTGCCCAGCATTTCGACGAGGGGAATGCATCTTTTGATGCTAAATAGTTCTTGAGTGGCCACTATTTACATGTTATATGTGGCATCGATTTGCATGGTGATTTTGACTTGTTGGATTTTGTCTTCGCTCTTTCATTTTTATTGCCTTTATAGTTTGCTCATCAGATTCATTGTCTTGCAGAATTAGGCTTGTTGCTGTTGCTACACAAAAGTTTGTCGCAGATGTCGCCAGTGACGCCCTTCAGTAAGTTGCCATGCCCTTTTTCCGAGTTTGCTGTTCTAGGTTCAGAGGTACATACTTGATGTGGAAGTATGATGAAGAGATTTCTAAAACCCTTGAGATTAAGTAAACAATCAGCTATCTGACTTTTGGAGCTGAGCTGTGTGGTACAAATGGTCAATACATATAATATTTGGACTAGAGATTCATTGATGAACTATTTTTTGTTTTCTGCCTTCTCTGAGCCCCGTAAACTTCTGGTCTGAGCTGAGTCAAGAGTTGTGGTTGTTAGAAGCTGTTATAAATTCAGAAAACAGCTTCATCATCAAACCAGAAAAATCAATTGTGCATTATGAAGAGAAAATTCACTATGTTTAGAAGTGAACCCAATGACTTTGGTGTTTTAAGGAAAATGCAGAGAGGAAAGGGAAGAATGAAGAACATAAGAAAAATGGTCTGGAAGTTCATACTTGATTTCAGAATCTCCTGGGTACATAAAAGAGTTTAAATAGTAGCAAACATATTTGCTTTCCAAACACAGATCTAGAGCCCCAAAAACATACTTCATAAACGTAACTTAGCACAGCTAAAAACATAGATAACAAGGCTTTAAATATTTCAAAACAAAGACCATCAAACAAAAGACTAAACCAACACTTTTACTGGTTAAAAGGGTGAATCTTCTAGCTGCAGATTTTTACCTCCTCTATTTCAGGTTTGATGTTGAATTGGACAGATTTCAACAGTGGTTATCCAAATGAGGAAACTAAATTGTGGACTGGAGTCTCAAAATCATTTTCCGAAGTTACCTATTATGTTGAAGGATTGTTGTTTGTGTTATGTTGAACTATGCGCTCTAATGCAGGCATTGCAAGGCAAGACAAGCAACAGTTGTCAAAGACAAAAGACAGCAAAAGCTGGTTGGTTCCTTCATTTGCAAACTTTTCTTTGGACAGTACATAACTCGAGAACCAAACACCATGTGATTTGATGAAGTTACTAGCATTGACTTACTTGAAACAGGATAAACGCTTAATATTGACAATGGATGACCTTTCAAAAGCTTTGCACGAGGTAAATGCTTAAGCATTTCAAATTTTTGGTTCTCTGCTTCTTCCGAATATCTCTGCTTTCTGTGATAGTTTGGCCATTAGGTGTTCTGTGTGTAACGAGAAGATGAAGCTGATTCTTATTTCATAATAAATTTAGTGGAGAACCGGAAAATACTAACAATAAATTATATGTTGTTGGTAGTAAAAGGAGAATCATAAAACAAAAAATGGAACTTATAGAAATTCTGAAGCGATTGTAATGATTTTGACAGCATTAGTTAATGAAGAAAGATTCAACTTTCTTGCACGATCTCATCTAGCTTTAGCTAAAGCCTAACTGGTGATGATTCCGGTTTTATGGGGTTACAGTATGGTGTGAATGTGAAGCACCAAGAATACTTTGCTGATAGTCCTTCAACTGGGATGGATCCTTCCACAAGGGATGAATAAGCCGCGACTTCTTGCCTGAACTTATCTCTGTCATCTTTGCCCCCGAGTGATGATACTGTCTGTGATGCATATATTTTCTACAGTTTTCTGCCTAACAGAATTCGCTTGCAACTGTTTCTTTCTGAGATGTCTTTCCACTGGCTGGTGATTGATTGTAAAGAATGGCTCGTCACCGACGATACAAAAGTAGAGGTAGTTCCATTTGATAACTCTATGGCTAGTGTCTGATTGATCTGCTGTAATGGTAACTTGCAATGAGAAAATAGCATCTGACAGGAGCGGATGTGTTTGGACAAGAATTAAAAAGTTGAGGTAACATATTTGCCTAAAGAGAAAACTATAGCGCTGTTCACGAGTGACACGGAAACATTCCAATTTCCGGTTTCTTTTTTGGTTATGGATTAATTTTGGTTACGAGTAAATAGGGTCAACACGCACACATATATATATATAGATATATAGATATATATGACCCTCGACACCCCAATCTTAAGTTCTTAACAGCACTTGTAATATAATCTCAGTCTTGCTTGCTTTTGTCTATTCTCTTCTGTCAAGCTTTCATCAAAACAAGGCAGTCAAAGGAGCAGAACCCAGTTGACAATGCCAGACAGAGAACTAACATCTTTTGTTAGTGAGATGATATTCACACATTAGTTCCCGACAGCATCTGTGTCTTGTTTTCCTTTGACCTTGTCGGGTTAGTTTGCACTGATTATGGTTATGGAATAGGAAAATCTCTCTTTCGAGGGTTAGCGGTGTGGATCTTTGGATGCTGAAAAAAAGAAGATGAAGCAGATGTTGATCTTTATATGTGAACAAAGTGGGAAAAGACCATTATTAGGATCGTGCGAGATTCTACAGATTAGGCATGCCTCAAGAAATGTAACTCAAAAGAATCTCTCCCCATGGGCTACCCAAATCAAGTTCAGTCAATTCAACACAGAGCACGGAAAGACTTTTCATATATATGTATATATACGGTCTGACCTTGTTGGTCCAAAATATTATTCAAAGACTAATTTGCACCTTTTCTTGGGTTGGTAGAATGTTCAATACCCCATTAGATGAAACCCATCTTTGGTTAAACCAAATAGCCGAAGAGCATATAAATAGACAGCTTATTGTCACGCTTTTTTATGACTGAAGGAACAACCAGAGATGAAGGGACATAACCACTTATTTTCCAGCATCTGCTTCGTTTCCTTCCTCTTCCTCTGCAATGTGGGAACGAGCGAAGGACAGAAGACAAGAACAGAAGTTGACGTTGGGGTCGTGACCGATGTTGAGACAACATACTGTAACATGAGCTTACTCTACATGAATATGTCTCTCTCCGATTTCTACTCTTCTCGTCCTGACTCCAAGACAAGACTGGTCTTCCACGTCCGCGACTCCACAAACGATGTCATCGGTGCTGCCTCCGCTGGTAATTTATATATATATATATATTTGTCTGCATGCGTCCGTTAGAGTCGGGTACCCAACATTTTTGGGTAACCCGACGTTGGCCTCGCTCCTTCGAATTGGTTTCGTTCTCCATTTTGTGAAGATCGGGTTCCCTCGGGGCACTGACGAGGGCTTGGGTACTTTCGGGTACCGGCCAATGAAGGAGACGAGGTCGCGATGGGAACACATGTCGCGAGAAGGGAGAAGAGGAAAATCCGCCGATAGGATCGGGGAGGCAAAGGGGAGGCGTTGCTAATCGATGAAGGCAAGCGAGGGGCGAGCCGGCAAAATCGCCCTCGCTCGGCCCCCTTAGAAAGACGAAAGCACTGAAAAAACCCCTCACAAACCTCCCCTCAGGGTCGCTGTCGCTTGATGCGTGCAATAGTCGTCCTGCAGCGCCTCTCTCTTCATCTCCGCGCCACTCACTGTTGGCTCGGCCTTTCTCTTCCCCTCTCCTCGGATCACCCGTGGATTCGGGTTTTCGCCCGATGGAGCCTAAACCTCAAACCCGAAACTCGGGATGCACCCGACCTTTATCCCCACGGCACAGCTACCCGTGCGACAAGTACCCACGGGTCGTCGCGTTTCGGGTACCATGCCCACCCCTACGTCGTTCATGCCTTCTCTTTCAAGTGTTTACTTAACAATACAAGTTTCACGGGTTTCGGTGTTTCACAGCGCTTGATCTGATCAAGAACAAGGAGGTGAAAGCGATTCTAGGGCCATGGTATTCAATCCAGGCTCATTTCCTGATCGAGATTGGCCGAAAAGCTCAGGTTCCCATCGTTACTTTCTCTGCAACAAGTCCTTCCCTTTCCTCTCTCCACAGTCCATATTTCTTCCGTGCTACACACGATGACTCGTCTCAAGTTCACGCCATAACCGCAATCATCAAGGCCTTTGGGTGGAAAGAGGTTGTCCCTATGTACATGGACAACATCTTAGGACAAGGTATAATACCTTTTCTTTCCGATTCATTACAAGGAATTGGTGTCCATATACCTTACAGAATCGTGATCTCTGCCGAACCTACGGATGATGAAATCTCTGAGAAACTTCTCCGGATGATGACTCTATCTACTAGAGTCTTTGTTATCCACATGGTTGAGTTTCTTGGGTCAAGAGTTTTGGCCAAGGCCAAGGAACTCGGTCTGATGAAACAAGGATATGTCTGGATACTCACCTGCGAGATCACAAATGCTCTAATAAGTAGGATGGGTGAAACGGGATTTGAAACGATACAAGGAGTATTGGGTGTAAAGACTTACATTCCGAGATCGAAAGAGCTTGAAAGCTTTAGATCTCGATTTATGAAGCAATTCCCAACATCCGAGCTGGATATCATCGGATTACGGGCTTACGATGCTGCTACTGCATTGGCAATGGCTGTAGAAGAAGCTGGAACAGATGGCTTGAGTTCCAGTAAGGTGGGTGCTAGAAGGAACACAACTGAACTTGAAGCTCTCAGTGTGTCTCAATATGGACAAAAGCTTGTCCAAACACTCTCTGAAGTTCGGTTCAAAGGTCTTTACGGAGATTTCCACTTTGTCGGCGGACAGCTTCAGGCATCGGTGTTTGAGATAGTTAACGTGATCGGCAATGGAGGACGGTCTGTGGGATTCTGGACACACACAAATGGCCTTGTCAAGACATTGAACCAGAAATCCAGGAGTATGACCGGTTTCTCCACTTGGAAAGATCATCTTAGACCAATCATATGGCCCGGAGATTCTACTTTTGTTCCCAAAGGATGGGAGATCCCGACAAACGGGAAAAGGCTACGCATCGGAGTTCCAATCCATAGTAGTTTCAGCCAATTTGTGAAGGTTGTGAGGGATCCTATCACAAATGCAACAACTGCCACAGGATTCTGCATCGATTTCTTCGAGGCTGTAACTAAAGTGATGCCTTACGATATCACCTACGAATTCATTCCTTTTGGAACTCCCGAGGGCCGACCATCTGGAAACTACGATGACTTGCTCTACCAAGTGTATCTCGGGGTAAGAGGGATCGAGATATTGTTACCTCCATTTGTCATGTATCTTGTATCCAACCTTCATTAAGGTTGTCTTCTGAATTCAACACCCTTTGATTCTTTTATGTGTTTTGAGTAGAGATATGATGCTGTCGTGGGAGATACAACGATAAACGCAAACAGATCTTCCTATGTCGATTTCTCATTGCCGTACACTCCATCGGGCGTGGGATTGATCGTCCCTTTGAAAGATAACGTGAAAAGAAGTAGTACCATCTTCTTGACACCATTGACGTTGGGACTTTGGCTCATCAGCCTTTTGTCGTTCTTCATCGTTGGCCTTGTCGTGTGGATTCTCGAACATAGGATTAACCCAGATTTCCATGGACCTGGCAAATACCAAGCCAGTACAATCTTCTGGTTCGCCTTCTCCATCATGGTTTTTGCTCCCGGTATGCTTTCTCGCTCACTCTCCCCTTCCTACAAATGCAGCACCAATAGTAAATCCTTTTAGAAATTTGATGTTTACCCATCTTGAAACATCATCTTTCTTACAATATCCAAACACGTTTACAGGAGAAAGAGTACTTAGCTTCTGGGCAAGGCTGGTCGTCATCACCTGGTACTTTGTAGTACTTGTGTTGGCTCAGAGTTACACAGCCAGTTTGGCATCACTTCTAACATCTCAGCAGCTTCATCCAACAATAACCAACATGAAGAGCTTGCTTGCAAAAGGCGAACCTGTGGGATGTCAAAGAACTTCCTTCATGTTAGCAAAAGCCAGAGAATCGGGTTTCTTGGAATCCAACCTCGTACCCTTTAGTTCCGCAGAAGAATGCGATGATCTTCTGAGCAAGGGACCGACAAAGGGAGGCGTTTCTGCAGTTTTCCTCGAAGTACCCTATGTTAAGCTCTTTCTTGGGCAGTACTGTAATAAGTATAAGATGGTAGAAGTACCTTTCAAGTTCGATGGGTTCGGCTTTGTAAGTCCCAATCACTCGGTACAGTTAATACTCGAGTTTCTCTTGCATCGTTGAAGCTAAGGTGATGATATAGAGTCTTTTTTTTCCGCAGGTCTTTCCGATTTCATCACCTCTGGTGGCTGATGTTTCAAGGGCCATTCTGAAAGTGGAAGAGTCGAACAAGGCTATCCAACTAGAGAATGCATGGTTCAAGAAGATAGATGAAAGTTGCCCAGAGCCGATCATCGACCCAGATCCCAATCCTTCTATATCCTTTCGCCGGCTTGGCCTTGATAGTTTCTGGCTTCTGTTTCTTGTTGCTGCCACAGTTTGCATCATAGCCTTGGGGAAGTTTACCTTCTTTTTCTTGAAGGAAAACCGAGAGATCTTATATCAGAGAAACCTGCAAGACTTGTGGAAAAAGTTCCTTCAACCAGATGAGAATTCATACATAAACAGAGTGGAGAGATGTCCATGTTCATCAAGCCAACCCAGATGGAAGAGCCTTGCAGAAAAAGGCAGACAGATCTTTCCCGAGATTGTCTGAATCTTTGAAAGACACTAGAAACAGACAAACCGAAGATTCAGACAGTTATCATCCAACGCATTATGGTTTTCCAACTGTTTCTGGTGTTCCTTGCTTCTGGTCCAGTCGTAAAGATATTAGAAGAAGCCATACGCTTAAAACAATGCAACATGTAGGCATTGTTTCCTGGTCGGTGTTCGAGTTCTACCTTACTGATTTCCACATTCTCTTCTCTGCAGTGTAGATCAACTTGGGTTGCCCCATAATGATTTTAACAAATTCATGAGATTCACTTGTTCCCTTAGAGATGTCCTTGTTAGAGAGTTCATAAGATCAGTTATATTTTGTTAGAGACCAGAGTTATCGATTAATTTGGTCAAGCTTTCACAAAATAAGATTTAACACGGTATCGCAAACAAACCCGTCACATTATATTACATACAAACATTGCCTACCTATATATAATACAACTCTAGAGGGTGCTATAAAACTTCCCTAACATGCTTATCAACAATAACTATATACAGAACGTGTGATTGCAAAACCTCTGGGCAAGTACTGTTCAAGGCACTCTTTTAGTTTCTGAAAGGTAACGGGCTTTGAGATAAACGAGTCCATACCGTTTGCAAAACATTCCTCCGCACTCTCTGACGGCGCATTTGCAGTCATCTGCATCAGTTGGCATATTTAAGTCACTCGAGAGTTTTCTTCTTTTATTTTTCTCTACGAAAAAAGAAGAGCTCTAACAAGTTCCCTAGTTCATAAGATATATATTTTATGAACATATGAACAGGACGCAATGATAATTTCCACAGTTATCCGGACTAGAATTCGGTCTCATACGAAGTGGAGTTTCAAATTAGATTGATTAACGGAAAACAGAAAAGATATTAGAACTCACCGCAATTATTCGCACACGCTTGCCGGTGTGTGGAGAGCATGAATCATCTTGTACTGAGTCTGCACTGGGTTTAATTATTTCGACTCCTGCCTGAATCGTAGCATCCCATTTCCCAGTTTCCTCAAAAGAACGAATCAATCTTGTAGCTTGTAGTCCATCCATGACTGGCATGCACACATCCTACAAAAATTTGTTCTGAGCCAGCTGATAGGAGAAATAATCACAGAAATCATCTAAGCAGTAACAGTTTCGATGAATGGATTGACAAAATAAAACTTTCCATGAAGCGAAACAGCAGAAACTAGAACATTACCATGAGAATGAGATCATAGTTACAGTGCTGAACTGCAACTATGGCTTCAACCCCGTTATTTACGACATCTATGGAATGTCCCAACTGTTTCATCATTGATTGTGCCACCATCACATTAATTTTGTTGTCTTCTACAAGGAGAATCTTCGGTCTCAACCTCGAGGTGTTCGAGTCAGCATCAGATACGTTTTGCTGGAAATGAATGCAACCATCGGTGCTCATATTAGATTCTCCTTTATCTTCTTTTGTCACACCGTTCATCCTCATGCTCCGAATTCCTGTACTGTGACTGCTAGAAGTTTCGGGGTCGGAAAAAGTTTCGGATACTTCAGAAACAGAACAAGCATCTTCCACTGGAGCTGTTTCTCTTGGCCCGACATTATTCACCACACCTGAGTCTTTCATGACTTCATCAAGCTTACAAGGGCAGCTGTATGCTGTTTGTTGTAATAACTCCTGGCTCCTGATGGATCCATTGGAAGAGATCCAAGAACCGTAAGAGCATGGTTGGAATTGAAAAAATCCCTCGGTTATGTCATCATCCGTTGAGGTTTCGTGGTCGGTCATATCCGAGAGCTCATCAGACTGATCGGATATGGGTGAAACCTTGTATGGTAACACGAATGTAAAAGTAGAACCACAGTTTACTCGGCTAGTTACCGTAATATGGCCACCCATCAGCTCGACCTGCACCGAGTCAATTAAAGATCAGAACGACATGCTGGACCGGGAAGTTTCGTAATAAGAATATCATTAACACAAAAAAATCAATGAAGAAAAAGGGGATCTGTACCAGCTGTTTGCAGATTGCAAGGCCTAAACCTGTCCCGCCATATTTCCGTGTGTGATCTGCGCTAACTTGCATGTACCTCTTAAAGAGATTCGGCAATGCGTTTTCTGTTTAAAGCAAAAGAGGTAAATCACTTGTCTGTATATATCTCAGATCAACATATCGGAATCAAAAGTTTAGCTAAAACCAGCGGCTGAAAAAGCAAACTATCAACATATTGAAAGATTGATAAAAGATTCCTTGCCTGGAATACCGATTCCAGTGTCATACACATCACAGAGAATCCACACTATTACTGTTTCAGGCATATTGTATCGCTCTTCTTCGGTATCCCCATCAACAAAATCTCCTTGCCTACTTGGAGATTGAGGTTCAGTCCTGAGAAAATGACTTGTGTATGTGTCACTTCCACGTTTTGGACTGTGGAACAAGGTCATGTGGTTTCCTTCTTCTCCTGAATTTGACTCAGATAGTTCCATAAGCGACCTGGACTGAGTTCTTTCGTTCACAGATGATGGCTCTGGTATCACATACAACTTAATCCCAACCTTGCCTTCATGAGTGAACTTGACAGCATTGCTGTAATGAAAACAGAAATATTGTCGGAAACTCAAGTAGGTAATTTCCAGAAACAGAAGTAGGAAAGAAAAAAAAAGCACTTCATAAGTCAGTACCTGATCAAGTTTGTGAGAATTTGACGAATTCTTAGAACATCTCCAATAACCTGAAAATACAATTTTTTTTATGTTATATATTTAAGTATCCAACAACAAGCAAAAATGGACTGAAGCTCCATAAAACCTCTTCTCTATTAATTAATTTTTAAAATAAGTTTCCTGGAAACTAGGATAGGACCTATATACCGATCCCTAGCATTTTTCTAAGTTCTACCCTTTACAATACAATCAACAGCTCATGCATAGTCTCCTCTTTCATGGACCCTATCCACTATCATATCCCATTTCACCAAGAACTTGAAAAGAGTATAAGTTTTTGAGCATACTGAATGAGCTCTGTGAAGAAATCATAACGAACATTACAAGAATTTAGTCTAAAGCACCAACCTAAGGCCTCACCTCAATAGGAACATCATCTGCTACATTTCCTTCAAGAATTATTTCTTTCTGTAGAGATGCTGCAGCTGTCTGAAGCACATGTTTCACAACCTCTCGTGGCCTGAATCTTGTAGCTTCCAACTTCATAACACCTGAATTAAAAGATATCAATCTCTACATTTTACACTTCCGAGGGATATAAAGGCTTAAAACAGACACCATCGCCTTTTAATCCAAGAAAAGCAAACATCATGAAAGAAAGAATGCAGCTAACGAAAAGAAAAATAAGGAGTAGGTCAAGAAATGCTGTTGCAGAGAAATTCTAGGGTATTGCCTTCCAACCTGATTCAACCTTTGAAAGATCGAGGATGTCATTTATGAGTTGAAGAACCAAATCTCCTGAAGATATCATCACTTTCAACAGTTGCCGTTGTTCCAGATCAAGTTTGGTGTTAGCAAGAATCTCGGCCATGCCAACCACCCCGGATAAAGGAGACCTAATCTCGTGAGACATGGTTGCTAACATCTGCTTTGCCCGCATAGTCTCCTCTGCAACAAGAGATAAAATAAAAATACAAGTTCAATTAGCTTCCATCCACACCAAACTGCAGAACTACGTACATTTCAGACAGTAACTAGACCTGTTATATGGATAGTCTTGTTCAGTTCTGACTCCATTGCTTTCCTGACTGCTATCTCTTCACGGAGCTTTATCATCTTTTCTCTTTTCCTCACCTGTTATATGATCAACACATCCGTGTATTCTCTTCCCTTGACAGATTACAAACATCTCTTCACACAGAGAAGAGTTTTACCTGATCAGTTATTTCCATGCCCATATAGTTTATTCCAATCGTCTCCCCTACTTTGTTAAAAACAGGTTCCACATATATCAGGAACGTCTTTAGGCCAAATAATTCGGTATCAAATGTAATTTCTCTTTTTGCTGGCAACCCTTTTTCCAGGACTTCTCGTTTAAATTCTTGAGATTCTTTGACACCAGCTCCAGTAAAAATTTCAATATCCGATTTCCCTAGAATGTCCTGAATTGACAGAAAAAGGTAATCAAGGCGTTATTCAGATATGAGTAGAGAAAAACATTGTCATGTTACCAGCAGTCATTTAGAAGTTCGGTAACAAGGTACCTCCTCTTGCAAGCTCGGAAACTTATTGTAGATAAACCGATATTTTAAATCCTTGTCCTGAAAGTTACATAAATTTATCAGGTCTGCAATGCAAATAATTATCATTTAAGCTTTCAAAGAAACAAAAAGGTTCACTGGCTTCTCTTTACCTGGTGACCAACAACCACTGGTGCGTTTTGAAGGACAAAGTGCAGGAAACTATCGGCTCGTTTCAGGATCTGTGATAACTCTTCTACCGGTGAGGTCTGCTTCTCGATACTCTCAATATTTTCTTTCAGTCTCTCCATCAATGCTTGTTCTCTCTTTATGCTAGCCTCCAACAATTTCTCTAGGTGTAGAGCCCGTTGTTTCCAGTACGCAACAGTGTCATACTCAGCTTCTATCTCAACCTCCTGGCTAAGAACAACCTCATGTTTTCTTGCAGGAGCATCTTGCCAAATGTCATAGCCATCATCCCATACGGAAATCGGGCGTTCATTACCGTAACTAGAGCCCTCAAAACGATGCTCTTCCAGTATCTTCCACTCCTTGATTTCAGCTTCCTCTTTCTGCCTACTCAGATTATCGAGTTCTTCCCTGAGAAGACGAACAGCATTTGCCTGCTTGTATTCCCATTGCTTCATTAGGTATTGCATTTGAGAAGAGCCCTGGTCAGTGAAATCTGTTAGCTCGGAGAGGCGCTTGAAGTCTACCATTAATGGCCCCCTTTTAATCAGAACCTCCTCCAACATATCTTGATCTCCTTCAGGCTTCTCTACATTGAATTGCTTCCCAATATCACTATTGCTTTCCTCAGGCCACATCGAAGACAGGACTTCCACATCCATGTCCTCGATTTGATCACTCTCCATTTCCAATACCATCAGAATGTTGGTCAGGCAGCTCGATAATGATCCAGTTTATGGATCTTGGAATGAATGTGGTTCAACTTTTTGTACAACAGCTCAACCTAAAAGAAGAAAACCCAACATGAACACAAGATTACCACATCGTTGAGGTTCATGCCGTTCAGACATATGAAGACAACCCTCAACCATGAAGCAATCGCGGAGACATGTCACCAGATTATGGTAGAAGAGAAATCCAAACCAGGAGAACAATTAACTGGTATACGAAGATCTATAATCAAATACTGCAAGATGAAAAATGGAAGAACATGTCAACAATCAACTAATCAAACCGACAGAAGGAAACACGACATCTTCTCTGTTTTGAAATCCAGAATTTCTGACAAAATTCGCAACACTGAACAGAATATATCATATGATACGAGTCAAAATTCATCAAGAGGCTAGAACAATATGCACGGAATCCTTCCATCTCAAAACATAACAACACACAAAAAATCACACACACACATGCAGACGAGAGGACGAACATGTCCCTCGCTCTCTGGATTTTACATGACCAATGCGTAAACGAAGAGAAATTCAAAATTGAATACCGTCTCCTACCTCTGGAAAGAGCCGGTCGTCGATTACTGGAACGGCACTAACCAATGACGCTGTGAGAGAAGGAGACTTAGAGAGAGAAAGCAAGCTTGAGAGAGACCGAATGAGAGCGAAGCAAGGTAACGAAGACAATGACGACGATTCGTGGTGAAGCTAGAGAGCCAATTCGCCATGTGAGACCTGAAGCGACGTCCTAACTAGCAAACGATGAGGAAATCACAAAAACGAAAATGGTGTTTCGTATTTATATTATAGTTGACTGATTCATTTGAAGCAGCAAAAACAGCTTTCGACGAATACTTTCAAGAGTCGGGGTCAGGTTTCGTTGCAGGCGGCGCGTGGAGATAACGCGCTGAAGTGAGCAATTTCGCGGAGGCGCGTAAGGTCACGCGCGTGGGTTTTGTTTTCCGACGGTAAATTAGATTGGCTCCGTATAATAATGCCGGGTTTCAGGAAGGACGGTGGAAATAAAGGCTGGAGCTGGGGGTGAGGTTCATATTTATACTCTGGGCATATTAATATAATTGAAATTCCAACGTGGATCAGTAAAATTTTAAATTACTAATTTTATTATAAAAGGAAAAAACATCGTCTACTAGATATGTATTAAATTTTTTGACTTCCAAATTCATACTAAATTTGATTTAAAAAAATCAATTTTTAAATTTTTAACAAAAACTTAATCAATAGAAATGGTGTTAAAAATTTTAACGGTTCGTTATCTTTTACTCTACCACATGTCACCTCATTAATTTTCTTAAAATAATTGTAAAAAAAATTTAAATAATAATAATACTAAAATAATGCAAAATAAAAATAAAAATAAAAAGTTATAATACATATATATACATACACATACACATACACATACACATACACACAAACATACATTTGAATACAACATATATATATACACATATATACAAATATATACATACAACATACATACATATACATGTATATATACATACAACATACATATACGCATACATAAAACATGCATATATATACATACATAGGTATGTATGAATGCGTAAATATATATGTTGTACACATATACATATGCAAATATATATACATATACACATATGTGTATGTACATATATATATGCGTGTAGTGTATGTATGTATATTTTTGTATATATGTATTTATGTTGTATGTTATATGTATATGTATGCGACTATATATGCATGTATTATATTTTTATTTTTTATTTATTTTGTATTATTATAATTATTTAAATTTCATTTACAATTGAAATTTAAAAATAATGACTTAATCTGTGATAATATAAATTTAAAAGTCGAAAAAGTTACAGTATAATTCTCATAATTATTCTAAAGTTTGATGATTTTTTGGGATGTTTCTTTATAATGATGATGGTGATGATATTTTTCATGCTTCCACACTAAATTTTGCAAAAAGCAGGAAAAAAACAAAAAGATTATGGAAGACAAGGTAAATATTAAAATATATAATATTTCAAAATTCTACGATTTCACCGAAATAACATCGAACAACAATAACATTGTTCAAAATATTTGCAAGTGAGAAAAAAAAAACTTTTTGTTATGGTTAATCTCTTATTTTTCTATCAAATGATCTAGATTTTAGGGTTTCATGTATTTATTAATGTATTATTATATTAATATCACAAAACATAATAAGGTATGTTAATTATGAATAACTCAGACATCAATAAAAAAACATTTTTATTATAAATACAACTGTAACTATGATAAAATAAAATGTATCCCGGGTCCAGGGAGATGTAAGTTGGGCCGAAGGTTCAGGTGAACTTCCTGGTTTGACAAAAAATAAAAAATAAATAAAATGTAGGTAAAACATTAATGGAAAATACATATTTTTTTTGGCAATTTAGTTTAAAGAACTTATTTATACTTAGTCAAAACATTCAATGTATTCCGAAGTCATTTCTCTAGCAAAAAGCTTATTAGTTCGTTGAATAAACTACAATCATATGATATAGATTTAATTTGTGAGTAATATATAATATAAAGTCAACATTTTTAAGGATGTACATCGATCATAAATAGAGAAACTTTGTTTTTGATGAAATTAATTAATCATACATTAGTTGTTTACCCGAACAAAATTAATATAATTTAAATCCATAATCATAAACTATTTTAAGAATACTTTCAATATATATATATATATATATATAATCCTCGTCTTTAGCAGCGGTCCAAGTAAACTAGGTCATCTTAGACGTGATATGCACGTGTATGTATATGAACAGATAGCATGAACGCTATAAGACATAACATAAGATATTACATATGTTTCTGTATTTATTCAATTTTTTCTGCATTTATTGCTTATTTTGGAGAGGCCGGTGAGAAAACAAAAGCATAATAGAAGAGAGAGACAAGCTTTCCCCTAAATTACGGATGCATTAACTGATTTAAATATATGCATGTATATATATATATATATTTAATATGACAAAATCTAATATTGTCCCAAATAGGACATTCTCATGTAATTTAGTTTAAACTGTAAAGCTAAACTGTAGACTTTAGTGACCTCCTTGTAATACATAGATACATACATATATATATATATATATATATTCACACATGATGAATGATTCGATATGCATTGTGATTCATTATTAGGACCTCACACGTCTTTGATATATATATTATAAGTTTCATTACAAGACATTTACTTTAGATCAAATTTATATTTTCATTGTATATTATATATTTAATTCTTTTTAATTTGATGAATGTTATATATATTTAATTCGTACGACCCAATTGGTAAATATACATATACAGGAAAACAGTACGGGTTTTGGCTTTATATCTCGACCCATTTATATGTTCTAATTTTAGATGTTATTGCTCTCAATCATTTCTCCATGTTTTCAGCCAAGTTCTTTTTAAATTATGAATGAAATGAAACACCTATATTTTACCCAAAAGAAAAAAGAGGAAATTTGCAGTAGTATGCCAAATGTGTCACGTCATTTCAAATGTATATTTTTTTTTCGCGCTTTGCAAAGTACACATTTCTGTTAATTTTAGACAAAAATACCCTCGTTTGTATTAATAAATCTCAACGGTGCTATTACCTTTCTCTCTCTAGAGTCTGTACAAAATGGATGCGCAATTCCATAAGTTTTTGTCTAAAACAAACGTATTACTCTAGTTTCTGTCTTACCGACCAAAAGACAAAGTAAGCTGGAAAAAGATTTTGGGGGCTAATAGAAGGTAATTTTTTCAAAAACCTGATATTTAGCCTCAATTGAATCCGTCCCGGCCTGGACACCTGACAGTATTCCGACTCCCACCAATTCCGGTTAGTCCGGTACATTCCGTGTTCCGGATGTCGACATCCGGAACACGACATCCGGAACGGGAGTGTTACTGGAACTCCCGTTCCGGATGATGCAAACCTTCGATTTCGTCCGGCCCGTAATAAATTCCCGGATGTACATGTTTCATGGTCATTTACACATTGTCCGGGACGAGTAATGGTATCCGGTTGTCCACATCCGTCCGGGAGTGTGCCTCGAAGTCAGGTAGGACGGATGTTGCGAACCTGGGATTTCGTCTGGCCAAATCCTATTATCTGTCATGCTGGACGCTTATGATTTAGGTCCGTATTATATTTTCGGATGCATATGTTTCCGGACCATGTAGACATTAATGTCCGGGATGTGCAGGATCCGGTTGTGGACATCCTTCCGGGAATGTTTGAAATGGTCCGGCAGCCTAAATGATGCGTACCTGTGGAATAGAAAATAAGTAGACTTGAATGTGGTAGTAGACTTTACTAAATCTGTGTATCTGTGCAGATGTGGTTGTACTCTGTGTTCGGCCGGTGGAACTCTGGAACATTCTAAGTTGTAGAAGATGTTGGTGCTAGAATGTTGAAGATACATCCTGATATTTCTTATTTCCAACTTTATAAATTGGTATGTGAAGACTATGGTTTTCAATCTTCCCAAGAACAATTGGTGTTCAACGTTCTTCCCAGTAGTTTCTCGGAGAAGAAGTTATTTCCAATCATAATTAACAACGATAGGGGAGTTGAATTTCTTGTTGAAAAACTTTCTGGCGATCAAGAATTAGCGCTGTACGTTTCGTCGAAAGCCCAAAAACGAGTTCAACAACATCGTAGCGTAAGACGAGATGGACGAAATATATCATTCGATTTGAATCTGTCACCCCCTACACTAATTCATCAGCTGTTAAAGCGCCAAGTCAAAGTAAAGAAAATGGGAGAGGGGTAGTGTCGGTGTTGGGTCGAACGATCCTGAAGGCCCAGATATTCCTCTTGAAGGATGTGGTGTTCTTGTCGATAACGAGGGAGAGATTGGTGAAGTGAGGTGTTTAGATAAACGTCTTGGGGTTGATTTATGCGACGAGGATACGAATTTATGCGAGGAGGATGGAAATGATTCTGATGATGACGATAGTGTTGATTATGATTTTAACTGGTGGGACTTAGTTGTAAGAAATGATTGTGAATATCCAGTGGATAAGGATGGTAATGAGGTTGACGATGATGATGATGATGAGTATAATGATGATGATGATGATGATGACGATGATGACGATGATGATGATGATGATGATGATGATGATGATGATGATGATGACAATGACGACGATAATGATGATGATGATCATGATGATGATGCTGATGATGACGGTGACGAAGGTCTTGTGCTGATGATGTTGATGATGGTGCGGCTGGGGATGGTGATTCCGAGGTGTGGGATGATTTGGTTAGGAACGAGTTGGATGATAATGGAAAACGTGTTCATATAGTTGAAGGATGTTCTAGTGTACATAAATCACTTGACATTTTGAAAAAATTTGAACGATTCGCTGTTGGTCAGTATTTTGAAGACAAGGATATTTTCAGGTTGGTGTTAGAGCGTTGAAGAACTCCTATGGTTTTCGTATAATGAAATCGTCGGGTTAGAGCGTTGAAGAACTCCTATGGTTTTCGTATAACGAAATCGTCAGTAGACATAATTATGGCTCAATGTCCTGTTAAGTATTGTGAATGGATGATAAGAGCAGTGAGAGACAAGGGCAGTAAACTTTTCTGTGTTCGTAAACATGTCTGCGTGCACACATGCAGTATCGATGATAGGAACAAATTTAGTCGGCCGCCATCTGCGAAATTCATAAGTTATATGTTGGCAGCAAAATTGCAAGGAACGACGACGCGTCCGAAGGCCAAAGATGTGGTGAATGAAATGAGGGTTGATCGTGGACTGAAAATGAGTTATTGGCAGGCATGGAAAGCAAGAGAAAATGCTGTCGAAATGGTCAGAGGATGTCCAAAAAACAGTTATAAATTACTACTGTCGTATCTTGTACTGATTAAAGAAGCAAATCTAGGTACTGTAACTGAGTATTTGGTAGATGATGATGGAAGCTTCAAATATGCATTCCTT